CCGGAGGCAGTTTGTTACTTGGGAGCAGTTGTAACGGAAGGGCACGTATCGAGTAACATGATTACAAATATATCATAACGTTCTGCCCCCTTTTCTCTCAGCGACGACGTCCAAAGGCCCGGAACGGGAGCCAAGGCGCGTCCTTCGACACGCGATACACGTGCGTCGCCTTTCGATGCGAATTCGTCGCAGCAAATCACTGCCGGTAGGTATAAAGGCAGGAGGGCACGTACTGCTAAATTGAATCGGCAGGGCACGGTTTTTGTATCTGCGTGTTCAAATAGAAAATGTGTGAACTCGTCCCTCAAGTGGCATTGAATCGAATTATCTGATCAATTCACATTCGTGTATGGGTTATGTACTTTTTCATGTCACACTTTATTGATCTATTTAGGAGATTCTACATATTACGATCATTCTATTAGAATTCTAATAAATTCTATCAGAACATTTGTCGCAGAGTTAATCATACTTTTGGCCCTGTTCGCTGATCTAATTTAATTAGAAAAATCATTGAGCCGAGAGGAACATGTGTTTCCATCTCATGGAGACGAAATATGTAATTTGTATCAGGACCAAATGGATGATAGGAAAGGCTGGCCCTGCGATTCCAGCGTTTCAGGGATAAATGCCAGCCGGCTAATATAAGAATATTACGGATAAAGGACAGAGGGCTATATCGCGGATCAGCGTGCCGGAAACGGGGACCGCCCCGCATCTAGACAGCCAGATATCTCGGAATGTTTTACACCTCATTAGGCAACAATGTGTTGTTGCCAGGGTGAATTATATCGGGCATGAGACGCCCGTCAAGACAAATGGCTCGAACCGGAGGTAATTGTGGGCTTTTATTAGCTCTGGTTTCTCCTGTTGGCTGCAAATCGCGCAACGCCGTGCCGAGCCGCGCCGGCTCTCGGAGACGTTCAACGCTCCTGCCAAGCAACCCTTCCGACAGCCTCCTTCTCGTCTATTTTCCTTTTCACCCCGCGTGGCTGTTGCTCGTTCGTCTCCGCGTTTCTCTCCTTCGTTCAACCCCGTGTACGCCGTTGCGTAATTACTCGCGTGACAGTAATACAGGAATGCGAATCTCGTCCTTCTAATGCGCTTAGAGTCACCCCGAGCTTGTACCTAAGCTTGGTTGCCCTCGAGTTATTCCTCTTCTTTTTGTCAATTATTCATAGTCAAATATCAAGCATATTTTTGTAGAAAATAGATATCTAACAAGTTTCTTAGCCGCCGCTAATGTAAGTCTAATTTCGCCAAAGTTTGTGCACTATGTATCATGTTTTGGGTTATTTAAATGAAACGGTGAGCCGCGGTTGGGCAAAGTATGTCCGAGCGGACCGGTAAGATTAATGTGGTCAGCGTGTTTCTTGAAATACTTGACATACTTCCTAAGGTTAATTACATCGCTGGAAAATTGTTGCGGTCGTAGCACCGTTTACAATCGGACACACAAATTCCGTACCTTCGCGCATTTAATTTTATTATTATTATATTTTAGTATTATTTATCGTATGAAAAAAGTTGGCAATTAAAATCGAAAGAATTCCGGCATAAATCTGTTCAAACGAAGTTGAGTTCGAACAACGTAGCAAAATAACGATAGCGTTCACTCTAAAAATGTTTCATACTTAAAAAAAAAGTCATCTTCCCGGTGAAAAGTTCTCGCGCGTAATAGCGCAAAATGGACCGGAACCCAGTGCCTGTTCATCCCGTAATTACCAACGAGGAAGTTCTCAACTTTTTTTGTTTCATTCTTCCCGTCTAATAATCCCACCACTTTTGTTGCGCGTCCCGCTCAAAAAGTGAATTTCAGCGAGGCTAGTGGCCACGTATATTCACCGGTTTCTTTCACATCGGCGACGAGCGTCTGCGAGAGCCCGGAAGGAGGGAAATCCCGTTTCATTTCTCATCCGTGACGCGTTCACCCGAAATCGCAGTATTTTTTTCCGCGGGGGGGAAAAGAGCCACGAGACATTCCGAAAGGGCGCATTTTCGCGAGAAGAGAGCTGCTATCCACGCGTTATTGCGCCTCTAGGAGGTACAACTCGCCCGAGGCATATGCGGGCCAGGCCTGTCCCTCTTTCGCTCGTAGTTCCGCCGGTGGTTCATGTATTTATGCATTTCCAGCCAGCCGCCGCTTCTTGACTAGACTCTACGCGAGCACGCGTTACCGGGCCAGCCATTGTGTGGCAGACGATTTACATGTATAGCTCCTCGATGATGTGCCGTGAAAGATGGCCGAGTGAGGGGCGAGCCAGGACCATCGACACACACAAGGCGGTGAATTGCTTTTAAATTAGTGATACGAAGTTTCAGACGTTTCGTGCCTTTGCGACGCTTATTTTCAACCGAGTACTAAAACGGTTTCAAACGCGAAATAAAGTGACTATGGAAGTACATTATAACTGAGCGGCATGAATTTACCAAACGTAATTGAAACATTACTATCTAACTGAAAATGATGGGCTAACATAACTGGCACGAATTAATTAAACCGAGCGAGCCACAAAGAAGTTAATTAAATACAGTCCGGTTCTTTAAAACTATGCAAGGTATTATGAACGTGTCAGGAAAGTTAAATCAGGCGAGCGGCGAGCTCACTGACGCAGGTTTATAATTAATCGCGAACGCGTTCGCCGCATTGCAAACAATTACTCGGTCGCTCGGCGTTCGCGCGCGGTAATTTAATCGACCTTCGAAACGTAAAACGTTACCGCGCTAATTGGTATCAGGGTTTTCGCAGGGATCGCGCGGCTATCGCGAGAGTAATTTTCGTAGCGACGGGAAAATCCATTTCGCATTTGATACTCCTCGGGTTGCCTTTCATTATTCGACCGCCATATTTACTCATTGAATTCAATTCGGATTCACTTATGGGATGATTTACTTTGCGAAGGCGTACCTGAGGATGGTGATGGGAATTTATTGGAGACGGAGCTCGTCCCGAATGCGGTCGGGCAAAATGCGGACAGAGGGGCGAGGGGAATAGGAGGAGAGCTCGGCGAAAGGGCAACGAATGGAGAGGAAAATAAAGGGTCCGTCCTTTTCTCATATTCCGTATACCGTATGCCGGGGATCGTGAAAGTTGCAGCAGCATCTTTTCGAAATTCAGATTTACAGCGGCCTGTCGCCTTTGTTTCCCCATTTTTCCGGCTGCTCTCGCGTTTCAAAACATGTTTCACCTCATTCTCCATTGATTTTCGGTACTTTAAATCTTCATATTTTACAAACATTTTAAATATCTAATAATTTTTTATTTTATTATATAAAAAGTTCATGCATATTAGTTTTGAAATGGTACAGAGATAGCTTTTATAGTTTGGTTTCTACGATTATGACCGATCGTATCAATTGAAAAGAGATTCAAACATTTGGAGGGGTCTTTACGAGAATGGGGACGTCTGTCCAGTAGCTTGTTATTGACGCTTTCAATGTATTGGTCGATGCTTTATCGGGGGATGCTGAATTTTTATCCATTCCCCCGTGCGAACAGAGGCCATGTACAGCCATCCGGTATGGTCGTTCTTTAAAATGCATGCCGGCTTTAAATCAAGCAAACAATAATTGTGTCCACTATACGGACACGCCTGATCGGATTTGGAATATATGTATGTATTTTTTCCTTCCTTACCCTCTGCTATCCATTTGTATCATTCAAATCTGCTGACTCTTAAATTTCACATTGTACAGAAATATGAAAAAAATTGTGTTCTAATATATTTAAAAATTGCAAATAGTAATACAAAAGTTATGTATATTAATTCGCGTATGGAGTGAATTCTGTTCGATCAACCGGGAGACTGGAAACACCACAGAGTGAAGTGGTAGGCGTAGGGACGATGGAAACCGAGGGAGGAAGGAGGACACACCCCTCCGGCCCCGCGAACTCGAACATGAATTAAAGTTTTAATTTCTCTAAATCACTGTTCGCCCTCGAGCGCTTTCCACCAGACGGTCCGTTACTTATGGCCTTTGCCCTTTTTGCCGCCTTCTTTTTTCCCGTTCGCCTCGATCTTACCACCGCCCGGCCCCTCGCCAATCGGCAGAAATCGATATGCACTTATCCGATGACTCTTGAGACCCGAGGCCTCTTTTGCCTCTTGCTTTTTTCCTTCCTCACAGTTCTACCTTCTGGAGCCGTAACAATCAGGAATAGCGGCGACTTAAATCTCCGCGGGAAAACGACATCGTTAGCATTAAAAATATCTATTCACGTTTTGGAAATTACAGTAAAAACTTCGAAGATCGATGCATACAAAATTTTCATGAAAAATTGAAATAATCTGATCTGTGTGGTAATTATCTTTCCTAGTGGACGTGTAACTCGTGTGACGTTTCTTTTGACTACTATAATTGTCATAAGAATGTGTCGAGGTCGACTTGAAGATTTTACTCTCGCGCGACAAACTCGAAACGCCCTTGCTAAGAGGTGAAAGGGGGGTTGTTCATTTAAAATCATGATATCGAGCGTGGGGACGAAGTCACGGCGCTGGCGTTGGTATTAACATTAGGTAGAGCAGGGCATGGCATCTACAAGAACTTCGTACACCGGTTTCACCCCCTCGCCGCCGTGCCGGTGACATATTGTTTCCATTCCGGTCCCGGGCTAAAGCGCAATAAAAAACTGGCATAAATATCGTCGCCCTCGGCGTGCCGCGACACCGATACCGCGTCGTGGCCCACGTAAGAACGAACAGGCCCCGAATACCATAGTCTACGGCCACCACACCGGAAGCGTACTCGCGTGTATGAGAGAAACGACCGGGGACTAATTTGTCTGAGTGGCTTTTTCGACGGCTAAAGGGCTCCACGGATTGCCAGAGCAGCCATCTTTATGGCTCCTGTGCATTTGTAATGCTGCGCGGCTACGTATTATTGCGTATTTATACGAATATAGTGTTTCATTTAAAATTGGTAGAACGGTTGCGATTTGCGATTTTCATTGTCGTGACGTGTGTGCTTTAGGATAGCGAGTGAAATGAAGTTGTACTTACAGCGTGACAGGTTCCTCAGGGCTGGAAGGTGCGATTGAAAGCGACATGGCAGTGGTCAGACATCTTGAAGTACCTGGCGATCTGACTCGATCATCCACCTGAAAAAATTCAATTAAGAAATCGATATGAAATAATAATTTATTAAAAAAAATTAACTCTTGTGTTGCACATTCATGATGCTGTTACACGTTTCTTAGGTGTTATAAATCAGTACAGGTAGAGCAGATATGTCCTCGAGGCATCATGCTCGACAGAGCATACGCGTGATTTACTGTATAAGTGACTCATCGAGAGCGCCCTTTTTCTCTTCTCTTATCTTGGCTCTTGCAATCCGAAACGAAACGCGAAGGAAATAATTCTTTTACTTAGACTCCGTCTTGGGGAACGGATACCCAGAATTTATACTCGAGGGTGAAACTCATATTTCTTGATAAATTATCAATTTCGATGCTGTACGAAGTTTATTACATCATTACTCCGAATACACACGTATATTACAATTATATTGTATACCTGATTTATACGCAGAGTTAAAAATGTATCGTTTCAAAAATGTTTCATATGATTTATGCCATGTTTATTTTTAATCCCCGATGGACAGAAAATTCGTCTCGACACGTTTGTCACGATAGCATCATTTCAAACTAATAAATGAATTAATAAATCAGAATCCATTCTCTGTGGAGCAGTCTGATTTTTCATTCTCCCTATAAATCCGTCCAGCGCGATCCTCTTAATCGAGAAGCCGCCGGTAGGCATAATCGCGATCGGCGCGAGCTGACAAATTCAGTCGAAATTGAGCAACTTCCGTTACGGACCCCAGCTCGGTTTCCAAAGAAATATTACGGCCATATTTTTCTCCGGTGAACGATGACTGAAGCTCTCCCGCGATTTCCAAGGGATTAATAATGGCCGAGAGTAGACCGTTCTACGACAATCGTAGAGAGAAACAAACGCGGTTGCCCCCCGGGCGAGTGGACCGGGCTCGCGCCAACATCAATCTGAACGAGCGAGCCGCGCCCCTAACGAGCCACCGAGTCATATAAATTTTATTGCCATTTCATAAATCCCGGCGACCGCCGCGAGTTACCATTCCGGGTGCTGTCTGCGAGATTATCAGGAACGTATAAACTTACGGATCGCGACGCACGGTTACTATCTATCCTTCGCGAAAGCTTCCCGGGGGCGGCCCGTGAAAACTATCACGGAAATGTTCCAATAGTGTCTTCATTGTTCGCTGGTGATCAAACGTTATACTATTATGAAGTAGTTTGGACTTTTTAGAGTATCAGGCTGTATTAAGTCTGCTTTAATTAATCTGTAATCTTTATGTTATCGTCAATTAAATTATTAAGTAGCCCTCGTTCATCGTTATTCTTATTATGTTTTTTAGTTGTAATAAAATTATTGATAAGTAGACATCAGGCTATCATAATTATTCACGAAATACTTGCACGGAAATTATGTAAAATTTTCAACGAAAAATTGTGTTTCTACTGAATCAGAAATTAGCATACGAAGAACGCATCTCAATTTCAAAACGTGAATATAAATGTAAAGCACCGCGTAGGCGGGCGGGCAGGTACCGGCAGAATGGAAACGGCTGGATTATATTTATAATAAATAAGACAGGAGAGGCTGTACACGCGAGGAGAAGCCGGCGCACAGTTAATTCAGTTTTATACGACAACACTTCCGATCCGCGGTAAGCCGGCGACAGTCTCTTCGTTCTTTTCCCTTCTGTTCGTCTTAACGCAAAGACGAACCAAAACCTGATTTACATTTCTTTCTCTCCTCGCTATAAAAATTCCGCGACGATAACTTCCTTTGTTCCACCCTCCGCGGCTCGAGCCCGGGACGAGCAACCCCTGCGGCTGGGAAGCCACGGGGAGTCCCCATATAACCCCGACTAGTTTTCGGTTTACATTACATTCTTTTTCCCCTTAATTAAAGCCGCGGTCTTAGGCTTGTCGAAAAACGTTACATCTCCTTGATGCACGAGGTACAACATATTAAATTAACTGCGTTAATTGTAAAAAATATTTTCTCCGAGATCAGAAATTCGAGGTCGAATCGTATGGATGTCTTGCGCTTATCGAAAGTATTTTAAGTTATTGTCTTTGATCGATAACGTGATAAATTCTTTATCGAATCTCTATAACGGGACTCAAAACTATCGATCATCCATTCATCCGGTGAAATTCCCTGCCAAACGAGGAGGCAACGGCGGAACAGGCTGGAGAGGGAGGTAGATAGGATCGAAATGTAATTAAGAGAGCAAATAATCCGAGCCGAACAAACTCCATGAAATGGATCAAAGAACTGGGAGGCTGGAGCGGGACGGGGAACATGGAGGCCGCGGGTTGAGAGGGTGAAAAAGGAAGGACATGTACCGATAGAGGCGCGTCGCTGAAAGGTAGCGGGACGAGTTACGAGCCAGGCTTGCTTCTCCCTGTCGTCGTGCTGTCTAGCCCGGAGGAGTAGGGCAACGAGGCGAGGGGGCCTCGGCAAAGACCCTCGATAAATATTTCCGTCAAGTGACCGGGGTTGGAATTCAAAGAGAGCCGAAAGGTGGAATCGAGAGCGAAACGAGTCCATCCTCTCTTCAACCGGCAGTTCAAGGGACGGTCGACGAGCCGTACGATGGAAAGGACGAGGAACGCGGGATGCGGGGGTGGTCGGGCCCGGCATGGCAAGTTGGCGTATTTGCGTAACGTTACGTAGTTGCGCGTTTAATCAGCCGTGTGCCCGGAAAGGGCGCGTGTGACAGAAGGGAAGAAGGAAAAGAGGAACCGCCTCGACTTCCGGATACCAAAGAACGACGGACCTCCAACGGCCTCCTACCTTTTGTGCGGCCAAAGAGACCGGATTTCTGTTTACTACCGGACTCCGACTCGTCGTCTACTGACGCAACGTGGATGTTTCATTCTTCCGTTTCGCTTTTCATTCCGATTTTCTTTCTTTAATTTAAGGTATACACGCGTGCAGCGATTAGCAATTTCTTTGGATCAGACCACTATTTTTATAGCCTATTTTATACGTGCAAGGGAAATAAAATACTGCAATACAAACAATAATTGTGACAATGACATTTTGAGATTCTTGCAGTAAATTCTGAATTTATCTGTCGTATTCGTTGATAAAAAAAAAAAAAACGGAAAGGAAACAGAGGCGATTGCGCCTATGAGACGTCGATGGCGTGACAGATTGCCTCCAGTATTTTCCACCACATACATCATCGGCATCCGCCAGCCTTTAGTTCTAGTTCAATGCTCACCACCGTCGTCTCTCTTAATTGGCAGCGCCTACACCGATCTACCTGCGTCGTCCCATCGTTCAGAGAATTCCTTATCGCAATTTGTTACATCATATTGAGAAGTATTCATCTCGTAAATGATCGATGAAATAATGCATAAGACATTCATTTATTTTTCTATCTACTGCGTTTTGAACTTTTAATTGATAAAAGAGACACACTGTAAAAGTAATGGGAAAATTTCATCAGCATTCTACGATTCTGTACCCTAGCATAAGAGGAGATTATAGTTAACGGAAAGGTTTGGATCCTTAGGGAAGAATGTATATCGACAACAAAGCAAAGGGTCAGTGACAAACTGCAAACCGCACTTTCATCGTCAGGAATACGATTAGGGAAAAATTCGTCCCGTTTTAATGGGGAGTGAAAATTAAATACCGCGGTGTCCACCCCTTAGGTTCGGCCACCTAATAATTCATACGAGGAATGTAAAAAGGGCCGTGCCCTTTTCACCCGGCGAGCGAGAACGAGAAAGCTTGAAAAGCGCGCCGGGGTAGAAAAATACGAGCCCGTGTTTATCTTGAGATTTGTAGCCGCCCTGTTCGCCGATATTTATTGGCCTACCAGGGACGGGAGATGCGCGCCACGGCCGCGGTCTGACGGACCGTTAAATTTTATTATGTTTTTTTCACCGATCCCGAAATAACGCGTCACTGAATATGGCTGGCAACTTCGCCGTAAAGATAAATCCTGATCGTCCGTGGATCGTCGTTTCTGTTGTGGAAAACGCGACTCGCAACGTTCTCGTTTATTTTGACGTTCTTTAGCTTATGTACTTTCCATAAACTATGAAGTACATTATTGGCAATTAGGTTATTAATTGAATTATATATAAAATTATTAAATTGCTTTAGGAAAATTTGATTCGTTTGTAACAGCATTAATTAAAAATTCATACTCTGGATTCACTCAAAAATACTACGTAGCATATTAGAAATCTTGTAATTTATATGCATGAGATAGGAGCGTATAGAAAATATGAAACAAGCGTTAGCCATAACACGCGTCTTATCCCAACGAATTCATAAAGAAGGATCCCTGAGACGTATAGGGTAACCTAACTGCCTACTGAGGTCATATTTAGGATTAAGGAGACGGCACGGCGGTTGCAGCCTCTTCACGGCGATGGTTTCCAGCGCGGTGGAGACGCCACGCTAAACCGGGTAGCCCATTATCTTAACAAATCTAATCTCGCGGTGGCTGTTTATAAATGTCTTGTTTTCTGAGCTAAAGCGTACTACTAGTCCTGGCAGAGAAGGACGGAGTATTTCTAACCGCGTTTCACCCCCTCATTAACGCGAGTAGCGAAGCACATACTTACGAGCATGTTCCATTAGAACACATTATAAGAATATTTCATTTTTCTCCATTATAAAATTATTTCATTCTCTCATCACTTCAGGTTTTTAAATGATATTTGCAAACTCAACTTACAATATTTCTGAAGTGATAACACATGATTACAATTAGTTTAGGCTTTCGTTAAGAAATTCAAACAGTAGATACACTGGAGAAAAGCTTGAATACAGCTACAGCATCCCTATGAGGAATCTCGAGGAGTAAAGCTCGCCACAAAACCAGAGGTTCTAATCCCTTAAGAACAATAATAAGAATCCTTTTGCTGTAACCCTGGAATCAGTATTAAAACTGCGGTAGCGTGGAAGGATAAGGACGAAGAGAGCGAGACAATTCCAACTTAATTTCAAGGGCTCGCACAAGGTGCGTAGTAATCTCCCATTCGCCTCTCCTTAAGATCCTTCAAGATCACCTGCTAAACTTGCG